AAAAGGAAAAAAAAAAAAAAAAAAAAAAGGATTCGTTTTTTTATAATTTATTTAAATTTTAATAATTTCTACATTTTCCACTTCATTATTGATTTGTTGTGGCATTGAATAAACTTAAATTTTTTATTCCTAAGAAGATGCAAAATGTTGGTTAAGAGTTTAGGATGCATTACATTACAATTCTCTGCTTTAACAGTGTTTAAGTAAATTTTTAACCTTCCCATTCAATGGACTATAAAATGTTCTTGTAATTGTGAGGGTATTCAAATATCGAGACCTCAAATGTTTAAAATTTCACCCTATAATGTTAGAGCTAAAAAATCATTTATGTAAGGTAAGAACTATTTAGAGCCATCTGCAAGACGGCATTTTCTTCCATTTCCTTGTTAGCAATGAGATTTTACCTCATTGAAAGTGGCATCACAAGAAAACGACACAACACAACCAACCCTCATAAAACTCTTTTTTCTTTTCTCAGAGTCATATTGTTAGTTGTATATCTTCTTCTCCTCAACTTGTTCTTTGGTTTTATCCTTATCCATTCATGCACCTTCCTTAGGTTCTATAGGGATCACTCCTTCAATATGGAAGATTCCCTCTCTCTATATAAGTCGCTTTCATTCTTTTTTTGAGGGACAGGGCAGCTGCGGGAGTGAAGGAAATGGACAATTCTGGGCCAATGGAAGAGACTCGACTTGACCTACATGTAAGGACAGGCGCAGCCTCTTTTTTGTTTGTTTCTTCATTAAATGATTGCTGGTTAACACACAGACAGCTTAACTAGTTTTTATCACATTATTCATAATGCACATATTTTGCTTCAAAGTTATCATATCTCTTGACAGGATTTAGATGCATCTCTGTTCACATGGATGGGTATACAAAAATACTATAATAGTAAAAAAAAAAAAAAGTATGTTACTCTGGTAGTGCTAAAAATTTTCCCAAGCTTATTAGAGGTGACATTATTAGCTTATGATAGCCCATTCTGTTTTAAGAAATATACTGTTGTTTGATTTAGACCATTTAGATTGTGTGGTGTTGTTGGGGAATGGTTGAAGAAAATTGTTTCTCCAAACTTCTTTGTTTTTGGACGGTGATTCTTCTAAAACTGAGATGTTTTTACAACAATGTTTTATTAGGTGGAGAGAGAATGTTCAAGTGCTCCTGGGGAAGCAATGAAAATCACAACAAAGGTTAGTAAAAGTATGAGATTTTTTCTAGTGAAGTCTACATATAAAATCATGAACTCTTCAGGTCTTTTTAAGTTGCGAGCATTATATTTCTTTTTAAGTTGCGAGTATTATATTTCTTTTTAAGTTGCTGAGTATTATATTAGTATAAAGATAGAGGTTAAAGGGTAGAATTGCATGAACAAGTGATAGTTGAGTCATGTCTAGATAATTTCAAAATCACTCAAAATCACATTTTTAATCGTTTAAAATTATTTTGATTGTTTGACAAGTACCTTGAGCTGATGTTGACTTCTGAAAAAAAGGGTTCTTTTAACAATTTTAAAATAACTCTCACAAGAAACTTGCTGAGATCAGTGGGGAATTTTGCTCCATCTTTTTAAATATATATATATATTTTTAAAAAAATTTCATTGAAAATAACTTTTTTAATGAAAATTTTCTATTTTAGAATATAATTTTTATTGAAAAATGTAAAACATCTTAACATATATTTCATCGACAATATTTTACCAACCTAATTTCTTAAATTAAAATTTTAATATTACAACCTAGTTTTTGAATTTTCTATAAATAAAATTGGGTAGAAATGGAGAATAAATCTTAAAAAAATCTCTCCCTACCTCATTTCAATTTTCTACCTTGTTTGTTGATTTTATTTAAAAGTACTATTATTTCAAAAAAAAAATTTCCCTATTTCACTTAGTTTGTGCTAAAATTATGTGAAAAGTTAATTCTTTCCGTAGGAAAATTTTGATTTGTTTTTTAAAAACTAATGTATTTTAAAAATATAAAAGAAAAGAAAATATAGGGCAGTTTTGAAAATAGAGTAAGATAAATCTCTAAGGGATCTTTATGAATATTCTTTATGTTATAAATCATTATAAATATTATAACGAATATGTTTTATGTTACAAATATTATTTATGATTATGTTTTACGTTATAAATATTATTTTACAATATTATATAACTATAATTTATTACGTTATATAAGTAATAATCTTAACAAAAGTAAAATAAGAATATAACCTGATCTTTTATTAAAGTTTCTATCTTCCAAGTTTTAAAATTTAAAATTTAAAATTTATACACTTCAATAAACAATTTTAAGTAATGATAATGTCATTAATATACAAATTGAAGGAATAAAACCTAATATACGGTATTTTGAAGTTGAGAATTAAAAAACTTTTTATTTTTTTTTTCTTATTTTAGTCATAAATTAGACCATGGAGTAGGAGTAACAACTCTATATTTACATAAAAATAGCTAGCAAATTAAATATTCCACTTAACCCAACATAAAGGTAGTTGTTTGTTTTAATTTCATTTCCACCCAGTAACATTTACTTCTCATCCATTGCCTTCAATGCCTTGGGAATATTCCTCCATTTCTGCCCCCTTCCCCTCTTCTGGCCGGACGCCGCCGGCGGGTCGGGTTCTCCGGCCTCCAATGGGAAATTCAAAACGGCTTTCCTCCCTCTCAGTCTAAACGCCGCACAGTCGTAGGCCTTAGCCGCGTCTATATCACTGTCGTAAGTCCCCAACCAAACCCGAATCCCCTTCCGGGTCGGGTCACGAATCTCAGCCGCAAATTTCCCCCACGGCCGCCGTCGTACTCCCCGGAAATGACTCCTCCCCTTCCCGTCGGTGTCTGTCTTCCCTGCCACAGAGGCTTCCGCATCGGCTTTGCTGGCCTGCCCCGACATGTCGGTCTTGGGCGTCGACCAGTCTACAACTTCGCCGGCCTTCGTGTCGTTGTAGCAGCCTTCCGCCGGAGGCGGTGATGGCGGAATTGGGGAATCGAAAATGAAATCTTCCAATTTGATGGAGTGGAGAAAGGGGGAATCTGTTTGGAAATGGGTTTGGTGATCTGAGGAATCTACCAACAGAAATTGGGTTATGAATTCTATGGATAAGAATTCCTCTGAGGACGCCATTTTCAGAGAGATTAAGATTTAAGATCTCAGATGGTTGCGTTTTACAAAGATTTGTGAAGATTGAAGGAAGAGGAGACACCAACTATATATATAAATAATACTACTAGTGATTTTACCCCAAAAATCCATAAATGTTGGATTTTGATCCCATCCACTTGGAACAATTATTTTTTTGAAAAGCAATTGTGGAAATGAACATTCAAAAGATTATAAATATCTCCCAAAAAAAAAAAACAATTAATATTGTCTAAATATAAAAAGAAAAATACAATCAAATAAAATTGGGCCTCTAGCTTGGATGCCGAGATCGAGATCGAGGTGGAAATTGTTGGATGAAAGTCTTACATTAGCTAATTTAGAGAATGATCTTGAGTTTATAATCAAATAATATTATCTCTATTAGTATAAGACATTTTAGGGAAGCTGAAAGTAAAACTATAAAAATTTACGACAGTAGATAATTTTTTTTAAGTAGAATTATATTTTTTAAAAGGTTGGAGACAAAATCAATAAATATTTATTGTTGGTGGGCTAAATGACATAATTAACCCTATTCTTGAGTAGAAGAGTTGTCATAAATATAAGAAAAGGAATTAATGAAATAATAGAGAATCTACTATCTTATCCTTGAGGTAATTTGGGTATTGATATATGAGAGTGATATGAAATGCACAAAGACATTGGACATTGGAAGAGGGCACCATTTTCTCGACTAGGGACCATATCAGCTGTACCTTAGTTTTTGCCTTTTTCTTTTGTCCAAAATATAGCGTGAGATACTTTTAAAATGCTATCTAAAAGTAATTCGGTTAATCTCGTAATTTAGAGACTCCAACGTAATCTATAAAATAAAAGAGTGATGATCCAACCACACAATGAGAGGCTGTCACTTGAGGCCTATAGATTCCATATCCAAATGCAACTCAGAATGAAGATAGAAAGATTCTCAATTAAGCTTCTTAGGGAGGGGAAACATTTTATAAGGAATATTTCGTTCTCCTCTCTAACCAATGTGGGATCTTATCATCCACTCCCTTGGAGGCCAACATCTTCACTCTCCAATCAATGTGAGATCTCACAATCCACTCCTCTTGGGGGCAAACGTCTTTGCTGGTACACCACTCGGTGTCTGACTCTGATACCATTTGTAACAGTCTAATCCCACTGCTAGTAGACATTGTCCTTTTTTGGTTTTCTCTTCAAGGACTTCCTCTCAAGGTTTTTAAAACTTGTTTGTTGAGGAGACGTTTCCACCCTCTTATAAGAAATACGTAGTTTCCACCTTCAACCGACATGGGATCTCACATTTCTCGAAAAAGTCCTCATAGTTGAATATTAATTCATCGTTTGAAATAACGAAAGAGAAATCTGTCACATATCCTATTTCTTTTTACCGCTACACCCACTTGTATCTTACTCCAAATTAACGAAATGGAAAGTTCTTTTTTTCTCCCGAAAGAACGATTATAAGCCTATAAAATAATAATATTTAGAAATAATCAATTATATTTCTTAAAAACCAATTACAAGAAGACAAATTGCTAAAACTTATAATAATTAAAAATAAAATGATTATTGAGTCGACATCTAAAGGAAAATGCTATATTTATTTAAACTAAGAAAAAATGGTCACATCTCTAATGACTTTTTTTTAATTGAAATTTGACTCCTCAATAAATTATTGGAATTGATTGCAATAATGTAATTGGAAAATTGATTGGTGCATCCCTGTCCCCTCCTCCAGAGAGAGACCACCTTACGTATTGCTTACGTAATCATATTGCGTCACCTTTTATAAATATTGACGGCAATAAATTAATTTAATAAATGCTTCTATAGTATTGGCATAAATTAATTGGCCGTATAATATTGGACTTGGATGTTTGTGAAAATTTATATATATATATATATATATACACGAAATAAAGCAATAAACAACGGTCCTTCATTGTTATGTCGTCCACATCCTTTTCACACCTATTATGTATTTTTGTGAATTAGCGTGAAAAAATTGAGCTCGGTCGATATGGATCTTAGGGAGGTCGATTTCGATTTCGTAGCTTGTTTCACTCATTTGTAAAGTAATTAAAAGCTAATTATAATAATAATAATAATAATAATAATATTGTATATTTATTTATACGCATTCTAAAATTGAAGTACACTTTATTATTATTTCGATTATATTTACTCAATACTGAAATTCTCTAATTTCCACCACTCGTATTGTACGAAACTAGCTAACCAATAACTGCTCGCCAACTGGCAATGCTGCTATCTGGGAGGGCCCCACCTGGAACTTACTCGACTCCGGTTCGGCTTTTTTATTAGCTGCGCCTTTTCTTCTCTTAGCCGACCCGTCAGCCAAAGGCACAAGGATATCATGCTCCCGACGTCGAGCCGAGACTCGTAGCGGTGGCGGGTCGTCAGAGCCAATGCGATTAGGGAAGTTAAGAAGAGCCTTGGAGCCGCGCATTCTGAAGGCGGCTCGATCATAAGCTAAAGCAGCATCCTCAGCCGTCTCGTACGTGCCAAGCCACACACGTGCACCGCTCTTAGCCGGATCCCGAATCTCGGAAGCGTACTTCCCCCAGGGCCGCCGTCGTACTCCACGGTAACGCTTACTCTTGTCATCCATCTGGGCGGCGGGCGCAGTGGTGGTCGGAAAGGGGTCGAGGTGGAGGGCGGAAGAGGCGTCCGGCGGATGGATGGAATGGAGAGGAGAAAGGACGAAAACGACGGCGTCGTGAAGGGAATTGAAGATGACCATGTCGTGAGAATCGTCGAGTTTGAGGGGAAGATCGCCCCATTGATCGGTTAAAGAAGAGAAGAGATCGGCGTAGGTTAATGGGGCTTTGTTGTGCACCAAATTTGGGTCGCCAAATGGATCGGGTTTTTGGAGCTCCATTTTAGTGGGGATTTTGAAGATGAACACAAGAACATGGAAAGTGTTGGGCTATGGATAAGTGTTATTTATAAAGGAATTTTGATGGGTTTGGTAATAATATCTCATAACACTCACTCGCTCATAGGTGGGGAAAAGAGCAATAATGACAACAACAAGTGGACTTTTATTCACTCACTCGCTCATAGGTGCGCGACATGTTCTCATGCTTAAGTTAGTATCTAAATTAGATTGGTGTCAAGTCGGTTATAGTAGGATTTTATATCATGCTTATCTCATACGAGATACCTGCTATACTTTCATACGTAAGCTAGTCGTGTTAGAAGGGGAAATCCTTGGATTACCCTTCTGACAAGAGGGTCTACTCGTTTTTTTTTTTTTTTTTTTTTGAG